GCTCACGCAGGACAGCAGTGCACCCTGCTTCGCAGTTGTGCGCAGATAATTGGCGCGCAGAGTCTTATCACCTGTACAGCGCACACACCACGTCAACCTCGAGCTGCCGACTGCCTCTGATCCGCCACAACGACCTCGGGATACCACCACCGAGGTCGGGCTCGCCAACTTCGCCTGGGCGACCGTCGCACTCCTCCGCAGCACTTCGTCACCCAGGTAACCTGGTCGACCAGGCAACCACGTCGACCAGCAGCTCCCGTACGTGCCCGTCGACCTCCCAAGTCGACGACCACCTCCACGTCGACCTCACCAGGTCGACGACACCATCGGTCGACCTCCTCCAGGTCGACATCCCCTCTGGTCGACCAGCTCCACGTCGACCAGCACTCCTGGTCGACCTGCTCCTCGTCGACCAGCACAGTCGTCGGCCGACCACCCACGTCGGCCACCCGAAGCTGGCGTCACGAAGTTGACGCCCCGCTACTCGACGCCTAACTGCTCGGTGTCCTGAGTCGAGGTCGACGTCGGCCCCTCCTTCGTCGACCACCAGGTCCAGTCGACCACTAACAGATCGACCAGCAGTCCGTTAGCCGACTGCCGAAGTCGGCTTCCCCAAGTTGACGTCACCAAGTTGACGTCCTCCGCAGGTCGACACCCAAGTCGACCTCCCTGAAGTCGGCGCCACCCTGAAGTCGGCGCCCGTGCAGTGGTCCCCCGTGCAGGTCGACCTCCTCGTCGACCAGCTCACCCACTGCTGAAGGCCGGCTGCTCCCCTCACACCCGACCACGAAGTCGGCTCCGCCCAAGCGAGGACGGGGCCAATACCCAACTCCCGTTGACAAGCTCCCCATCTGGTCCGTAATTATGCCTGAAGATCAGCTTGGAAGAAATGGCCTTCTTCCCAGGTGGCAGCTCACACAGCTCCCACGTCTCGTTCTCCAGCAGAGAGTCATACTCCTCCTTCACACTCTGCTTCCAATTTTCAGCATCCGGCCCGCTCAATGCTTCAGCTAGCGTCTTGGGCTCAGGAACGGCTGCCCGATAGCAGTGTGCTATCTCATCCTCATCACACTGCTCAGCCACACTCCCAGCCCTTACCACCTTTGGCTTGCCAAGGCTCGGATAGGTCAGCCGGTTAGGAGGGCGCACATCCCTCCTAGGACGGTCAGCCGGACGTGCGGCACCTTGTGGAGCACCTTGCTGCTGCTGCTGCTGCTGCTGCTGCGGCTGCTGCTGCTGCTGCTGCTGTTGCTCCTCCACCTCAGGTTCTCCCCCATCCTCAGTCACCCCAGAGATCTCCTCCTCTGAGACAGTGACCTGCACTTGTCTCGAAGGCCGTTGCACCTCATCGGCCTCAATGATCAGCAGTGTAGTTGGAAGCTTCCGCTGCTGCTGCTTCCACTCCTTATAGTACAAATGATTCAAGGAACTTCACATCCCTTGACACAGTCAGCTGCTGGCTGGTCAAGTCCCAAATCAGCCAGCCCTTGTGATCCTTAGCAAGCCCCAAGTGCACACCCCATCTCCCAGAAGCCTCCAACTTTCCCCTCTTCTCCTTAGGCACATGAAACACCACCATGCACCCAAAGGCTCTCAGCATGTTGACTGCTGGTGCACTCCCATACCACTTGGTGTAGGGTACCCACTGCTTGTCCCCCACAGTCGCCAGCACCCTGTTCTTCACAAGGGCGACCTGCCGCAGTGCAGTCACCCAAAACGGATCCGGCAGCCCTACACGCCCAAGGAGAGTCCGAGCACCTTCCTGCAGGGTCCGGTTGAACCGCTCAGCCACGCCGTTCTGCTGAGGGTTGTAGGGCACCGTAAGCTGATGCTGGATCCCCTTCTTCTTCAGCACTGCCTCAAAATCAGCGCCAATGAATTCTCCCCCATTGTCAGTGCGGATCACCTTCACCTTATGTCCGCTCTCCCTTTGAGCTCTCGGCATTCACTCCTTGAGAACAGCCGCTGCCACCTCCCCCTTCGTCTTGAGAGGGTACACCCACACCGCACGTGTGTGGTCGTCCACAATGGTCAGGAAATAGTGGCTGCCCGAGAGAGAAGGGGCCCTCGTGGGGCCCACCACGTCCATGTGCACAAGTGCAAGTGGTGCCTTGGCTGGTCTTGTGCTGCTGCTGAAGGGAAACTTCGTGAATTTTGTCTCAAGGCAGGTAGGGCAGCTCCCAATCTCCGTTGCTCCCCCCTTCACCTCCAGTCCTTTCAAGTACCCTTCCTTTACCAATTTCTGCAGCATAGGAATGTTCACATGGCACAGCCTCTCATGCCACGTCTCCCAATCAGCCTCACCACTCCCAGATGAAGCCTTTGCCCATGCAGCTGTCGCATCCACACCAGCTAGCACCTCAGCATGTGACTGCTGTGGCTGCTGCACCTTCTTGACTGCATCCAGGACCCCATCATTTGGTGCAGTCTCCTCTCCTCCCGCAGTTGCTTTAGCCGCTGCCGCTGCCGTTGCTGGTGGTTTCCCCTTCCAAAGGATGATGGGCATCTGCCACAGGTCCTTGATGCAGCTGCTCTTCTCCTCCAAGTCCCACAGCAGCAACTTCCCAAGCTTTGCACGGCAGCTGGTTGGGCCGAACGTAACTTTGGCCTTGCTTTTCTGCAGCCGGCGCACAGAAAGAAGGTTAGCGGACAAACCTTCAACCAACAGCACATTCCCAAGCCCCACAAGCTCTCCATTGGCTCCCATCACCTTGGCATTCCCAACACCAATCACAGGGAGCAAAGCACCTGAAGCGGCAGCCACAAACTTGATCTTCCCAGGAGGTTTTACCTCATCAAGCAAATCTTCCCGTGGGGTCATATGACTCGTGCAACCTGAATCGATCACCCAGTGAGTGAGGGGGTGCATCACAACCTTCCCAACTTAACCCACATCACCCCCACTCCCTTGCACATCCTCAACCATGAGGAACATCCCAGGGTCGGCTTTACCTTGTGCACCATCACCTTGTACACCTGAACCTTGCACAGCGCCACCGCGTGCACGTTCACCACTTGGCGGCTTCATGCCTGGAGGGGCCCATCCCTCAGGCCGGCTGAAACACTTGAACCACGGGTGTCCAGCCTTCTTGCAGTACCAGCACGCACCCTCCATTCGGGTGCTCCCCCTGCCACCAGAGCTCCCATGCCCCTCATTGTAGTCACCTCGGCCTCTCCCTCTGCCAAAGCCTCTCCCACGGCCTTGGCCTCTCCCTCCCCCTCTTCCTCTGCTGCCTCCTGCAGCTCCATACCCCTCAGCAGTTTTGTTGGCAGCACCACCTCCCGTGTGGCGCCTGCGGAAGTCCTCCTGCAGAATCTGCTGCCGTAGCCACTAAGGCGTCCATTTGTCCTGCTGAACGTTGAGGGTGGGGATGAGGTTGTCCCACGAGTTGTCGAGCACCGAGATGATCTTGGTGCACTGTTGCATCTGCGACACTTCGCTGCCCGCCGCTGCCATCCTCGCATAGGTGTCCTTGATCTTGTCAAGGACCGGTTTCACATCATCTCCCGGCCGCATGGAGAGGGCAGCCAGCTCCTTCTCCAATACGATCACCATCGGCAGCGTGTTGGGCTTAACCACGTCGCGTAGCAGCTTCCACGCCTTTGGTCCCGAGTCATCGAGCTCCACCAAATCCTTGATGTGCTGGAACATGTCATTGTTGACCGACTGTAGAATCAAGTCGTACATCACTGCGCTTTTCTCAATCCATCGATCGCGGGCATCTCCTTCCCCTGGCATCTTCTCCTCTCCCATTGCAATTTTGAGCAGCTTGTAGCGCTTGAAGGCGCTTCGCATCCGCCCACTCCATTCTTCATAGTTGGAGCCATCCAAAGCTTCTATCTTGGATGGTGGCGGTTCACTCCTCTTCTCAACTGCATCTCCACTTCCTTGACTCATCTCCTCTGCTCCCAATCACAATTTCAGCTCCCCCTTTGCTGTCCACACCGAAGTCCCACAATATTTTCACAAGTGTCGGCGCCAACGAAATTTCGGCAGAGTTTCCCCTTAGCGGAAGTCACATGCAACCTTTAGAACTCCACTTAGGCACGCCCACAGGACATGGTGGGTCTACGAGGGTCTTCACACTTCAATAGACTCTCCAGAAGGTCCTTAATCAGCTCTGATACCACTTGTTAGAGACTAAGGACGGAGTCTACGAAGATTAGGTGCCTAAATTTCTCAAAACCGTTGGCTAAGAAATCTGGACAGAAAAATCGCGCTCACAAGTAACGCCGTCGACGAAACGTTCACAGTCAAAACTTCACTAAACTCAGATATGTTGTAGCTCTACTCCGTGGCTACAATTCTCAAGTTGAATCGTACAAAAATGTGAAGTATTTCTTGAGTTATCAATTTCGGCGCACTAGGGGGTATGCTGCCATGGAATCTTAACTCAATCACAAAGTTCCCACACAAGTTCACAATTACTACACAAGAGAGTTAGAGTAGCACTAAACCAGGTGGAAGGGATGAGGAGGATGAGAGGGAAGGTCCCAAGAGAGTCCCCAACCAAGGAAACCCCATGCCACACAATTCCCTTCCCCATAGGCAACCCAACTTTGACCTTTGTCACTATCCCAACCTCCACAATCCACCTCAACCCAACTTGGCCACACTTGCCAACCTGGTTTGGTTCCTCCCAACCACTTGGCAGCATCTACAGTGATGTTGACGAATTTCCCAACCCCCAAAAGTCTGTACCCCATATTGAGTCAACCCCACAACTTCCCACAGTTGCCACAATCAAATCTGAAAAGCATACGAACTCCAACGTTCGTAACTTTCTTGTTCGTGCTCCGATTGAAGCGATACTTGGTTCGTCGGAAAGCTCTTGAGCAGAGGAGTCACTTCAGATATCTGCTCAAACCAAATAACATTCACACATACACTCAGAAAATCCAAACCGCACAAAACACAAATTCATGCACACGCTCACACCACGCATGCAACGCACGAACATGTGATGGGAGGCAGACAGACGTGAATGCAAATGATAGCATCACATAACAGACCAGAGACAAGGACACGAGAGGCCATGCCTCGGAGACAAGGCAGGGAGGGGTGACCAAGGCGGTGGTGCCAAAGGAGAGTCTGGTGGGACAGGAGACAACACGAGCAGGGAGCAGACTCAGGACCATACCTGGAAGTTGCTGCAAACACTTGACTCGACGCAGCTACCTTACCAGACTGAGCAACCGGAGGAGACTCAGTAGTCAGTGTGTACAGGCTCGACCCCGGCCGACGGGTAAACGTGGCCAAGTGTCGGCCCGTCCGAGCACACGTACAGTGGGTCACCCGCTGACTCGCAGGAGTGAACTGGTCAACCCCCCGATCCTGTTGATCAGCACCACTCACCAAGTTTGTAGAGAACGAGGGGAGGTAGAGACCTGACAAGGTGCCAGAGGGGGCTGCCGGACACAGTAAGACAGTGGAGAAGCTAGCAAGGACAGAACCCACAGAGGGGTCCGCCAGGGAGACCGCAACCGGCCGACTGAGTGGCATAAGCGTGGTGCGGTCTCGAAAGAAGGAGCGAGAAGCACCCGAGTCGAGGGTGAAGGTGTGTAAGGCCTGAGCCGATGTGGTACCCGAGAGAGCAGACTCACCAGCACCTGGGGCAGCAGACGCACTAGCACCTAGAGCAGCAGCCTCACCAGTACCTAGAGCAGCAGTCTCAATGCCCGGGTCAGGCGGAACACACAGGTAACAGTCACCCTCATCACTAGTAGACATAGCATACATGGCAGCAAGAATAGCAGCATAATCAAGATCAAAGATAGCAACCCCCACCCTAGACAGCTCTCCCCAGCAAGGGATCTCAGTGGCGTCAGGGAACTGGTGACGCCACGCGTCTGCCAGTTGGCCGAAACAGCGCTGTGTGGAGTGCGGGCCCCCGCACTTCTCACCAGTGCGGTCGCCGGTACGGAGGACGTGGGTGCAGGGACCAGTACCCCCACCTCGCTGACGCCCAGCGTACCACTCACGAAGCTGCAGAGGGGACGGGGTCTCACGAGCGCGTTGCTGCTGCTGGCGCAGACCACCACCGGAACCACTCCTCTGCGCAGAGCCGCGACTAGCTCCACCGCTGCCGCCGCCGCCTCCGCCACCTCCGCTCCCTCCGCCACCGCCGCCGCCTCCTCCGCCTTCACTGCTGCCACTGACACCTCCACCCCCGCCACCACTCCCACCACCACCCCCACCCCCTCCACTGCCTCCACCACCACCTCCACCGCCCCCGCCAGCCCCTCCAACGCCCTTGCCCCCCTTGCCCTTGCCGGTGCGGCGTCTCCCGCTAGGGGCAGACGCAGCGCCGACTGACTCGAAACCAACGAGGTCGGCCGCAGCAGCAGAAGCAACAGAGGGGAAGAGGGGGGAGGGGGAACACCCTTCAAAGACGAGGGTGCGAGGGTCACCACGAGAGGCTCCTACAGCGACTATGCTCTTCTCTGCTACTAGGAGGGGCTCCTCGAGGAGGTCAACAGTGAGTGTGGTGGGGAAAACTGAGAGGAAGTGGTCCCTGACTAAGCGAAGGGAGTCATGGAGCCGGGTGACTATGTAGTAGAGGGTGATGTACATGGGGGGGGGGGGGGTTCTTGGCACATAACTCAGCAGGAAGCGCAGCGCGGTAGCGAGTGTCACTAGTACGGAGGTGCGTAATGAGGTCAGCTACTGTGGGAAAGGCAGCAAGGTCAGGGAACAGGTACGGCAGCATGAGGAAGCTAAGAGCAGCAGTGGCAGGGGAAGAGTAGCGTGCAACTACGGCGTCGTACAAGGTCTGAGCACTCTTGTACTGACTAAAGTGTGCACACTCAGTGTTCGGTAAGTGGCAACGCACAGCAAGACGGGCAGCAGCATAGCGTGTGGCCCACTGTGAGCGAACAGTGCTGTCAGCAGTAGTCGGCGGGGCAGGAGAGGCACCAGAGGTGAGATCGAACAGAGAGAGTCCGTCTGCCCTATAGCACTGTAGGAACAGCTGGAGGTCATCGACCCAGACCTCAGAGTCAACAGCACGACCCTCAGCATCAAAGGTAAGGACACTAGGGGTAGCCATGACAGCAGTGGTCTAGCAGGGAGTGATCTCACCAGTCCGAGTAAGTAGGGCCGGGGCGCGCCGGTAGTGACAGCAGCGGCTCGACGGCTGGGCGGCTCGGCGGCTTGGTTGCTGGGCGGCTCGGCGGTTCGGCGGAATGGCTGCTGGGCGGCTCGGCGGCTCGGCTGTTGGGCGGCTCGGCTGCTGGGCGGCTTGGCTGCTGGGCGGCTTGGCGGCTCGATGGCTTGGTGGCTCGGCTGCTCAGCTGCTGGGCGGCTCAGTGGTGAAGGGGCAGGTAGAGGCGGCGACGGGGCCGGTAGAGGCGGCGACGGGGCCGGTAGAGGCGGCGATGGGGCCGTGACGGGTGGCGACGGGGCCGGTAGAGGCGGCGACGAGGCCGCGAAGGGCGGCGACGGGACCGCTAGAGGCGGCGACGGGGCCGCGAAGAGCGGCGACGGGGCCACTAGGGGCGGCGACGGGGCCGCGAAGGGCGGCGACGTGGCTGCGAGGGGCAGTGACGGGGCCAATAGGGGCGGCGACGGGGCCGTTAGGGGCGGCGACGGACCGTGAAGGGGCCGCGAGGGGCCTAGAGAGGCGGCGACGGGGCCGATAGGGGCGGCGACGGGGCCGCGAAGGGGCCGCGATGGGGCCTAGAGGGGCGGCGACGGGGCCGCGATGGGGCCGTGAGGGGCCTAGAGGGGCGGTGACGGGGCCACAAAGGACTGCGACGGGGCCGTAAGGGGTGGCGACGGGGCCGCTAAGGGTGGCGCGAGGGGCCTCTAGGAGGGCGCGACGTAAGGGCGGCCTACGGGGCGCGCCTCGGGCAGGAAGGAAAGATCGAATTCAGTGGTGGGCCCTGAGAAGCGTTCGCACGAGGGAACCTGCTCTATACCATGTGAAGAATGAGGAATGAATGAACTAGAAAAGAGGTTGGTACAAGTAGGAAAACCTTGCAATGTTGTACCCCATATGGTCTACCCCACTACAGCCTACACAGACTATAGCATATAAGTTTGACAATCGTATACCTGGACGACATACTGATTTACAGCCCTGACAGAGCACAGCACTTACAGGACATCGAAGCAGTTTTTAAGATACTGGGTGAAAACCACCTACTGACAAAAGCGTATATGTGTGAGTTTTTACAGGACTGACTGGAATTTTTGGGACACATCATTTCAGCTGCAGGAGTGGAAATAGACCCAAAAAAAATTGCGACGATTCAAACATGGCACGCGCCGACCAAATTGACCGAGCTGCAGAGTTTTTTGGGGTTTGTCAACTACGTGTGCCGGTTCGTCCCCGACATGGCGAAGCTGACTGCCCCGTTGACCGACCTGCTGAGGAAGGGGGTTGAGTACACGTGGGGGGAGAAAGAGCAAGCTGCCTTCTCGGCCCTCAAAAATATTTTTGTGCCCGCCAGGAGTGGACTTTTAAGGGTAAAAAAATGCGACAGCAACTGCAGCTTATTACTGGTCTGAAATGCTAACCAACGTGTTGCGAACGTGGCCTTGTGTCCCACCTGGGAGCTTGTAAATTCGTCACGATAACGCCAGCAGGAAAGTTGCAGTCGATACCACCCTTATGCATGCTTGGCAGCAAGTGACGATGGCTTCGTACCAGGGTTACCGGCCGGGCGAGTGGGAATGATGCGATCCTGGTCATCGTCAATCCGCTAATGGACTTGGCCCATTTTGCAGCCTGCAAGAAGTCGATCTCAGCCGAAGAAACAGCCCGACTCTTCATCGCCACTATCAGTAGGCTACAGGGGATACCCGCAACGATCACCTGCGATCGTGAGACGAAATTTACTTGCAGTTTCTTGAACATATGGCAGCAGTTTGGCAATCTACAAATTTTGTTCATCATAACCCCCGAAACCGACGGTCAAACAGAGTGGACCAACCAAACCATGGAGCAGTTAATCGTGCCACGTTGTCAACTTGGGAACAAAGGTTGCCACTCATACAACAACTCTACGTCAGCAATGACGCACTAATCCTCAACTACGGACAAAATACTAATGTACCCACGACGCCGAATCCCAACAACCCGGTCCCACGCGCGAATTAGTCTGCTGAAATCTTACAAACAACCCGGACCCGAGCAGCATATGTCATTAAAAAGTCGACCATCATTGCTAAGCGCAATGTGGATTACCACAGCCGACCCGTCACTTATCAGCCTAGTACTTTTCGACACTCGGAATTTCTGCCTGCTCGTCCAAAGTTGCACCCCCGATATTGTAGGTCATTTCGCATTAGCCACATGATTCTACACGTCACCTCCCAACTCCTCCTGCCCGCTGGCTGGTACGTCAGCCCATCATTTCACGTCAATCTCATCCGCCCCTACATCCCATCAATGAGTCAACAGCCGCACAGTCGCCCGTCAAGCATGACGCAATCGTCAACATAACAAGTCATCACCCCCAAGAAAGTGCACAGTCATCGAGTGCGCGACCTATGTGGAGCCTGGCACATCGAGTTCCAAATCCTCTAGAAGGACACCATGTCAGCATATTATCTTATGTTCTAGCCTGTAGTGGGGTGCTCTATAGCGAGTACAACCCTTCTAGGGTTTGCTATTTGTATCCTCATTCTTGCTAGTTCAATCCTCTTTCTTTCTTCAAACTTTGTCACACCACACCCACAGAAGATAATTGGGTCCCTCGAGATAAAATCGAGAGCCAAAGCGTCCTCACCAAGTATCTACGCAGACGAAATTTCCGCGACGTATACGCACTTTTGTAAGGGGGCCTCCCTTGGTGGAGGAGGGCAGTGTAAGGAAAAAAATATTTTCCTTAACTCGCACCCCTACTTCGCACATAACAGTTTCCACCAGTTGGAAACCATTACCACATGCGACACTTGCATCGACTACTGTTCCCGTTACTACTAACATTGCGGCCCAACGTCAAAGCTCGGTCGGTACATCGAGCTCCGGCCCTCCGCCTCGACAATTACTAACCTCGGCGCAAGGCCCGTCTCGCATCCTACAATTCGCGCATTACCGTTACCATGCTAGTTTGCTATGTAATATTCGCCCATTCCTTCGTCAATGTAGTGTTTTGCTTCGATGCTTCAATCATTGTTCTCTCACTCAATAATTGTTACTCGTAATTGCGCGTTTAATCTTTCCTCGCATTTTTCGCCATTCCGTGACAACACCCAGACCCTGTTCACCAGTGCTTTCGAGACCAGGAAGCGGGTGGAAAATCCGCCCAGCAGATTTGGGGGTTCGACAAGCTGCAAAAATTTCCTGCCAGAAATGGTGCGAATGCCAACAAAATCTAGAACTATATGCCAACTGTCAAAATATGTTTACATATTTTATATAATTGTTTGCAGTTGTAGTGTAGTTATTGCATCATGTTTGGTGGTGCACCTCCTTGTGTTGCTGTTTACCTATTTGTACTTGCCATTCTCTTTAGTGACACTCATTCCTCTCGACTTTCCTAAACTCACTCGAACTCTCTCCTAAACCATGGCTCCTAAGCCCACCTATGCTTAGCTTTCTTCACATGTTATCAGAGTGACAAAGTCCTGACCTGTGGGCCCCACCCTAAAACTTCCGCTGCTACTCTGTGTCCGGCACGCCCTGCGGCGTGCCCCTTATACTTTGTTCTTAGCGGCCCTGTTGCCGCCCTTTCTGGCCCCTTGCGGCCCCTTCGCGGCCCTCCCGCCGCCCTTCACTGCGGCCCCGTCGCCCTTCGCGTCGGCCCCGCCACCCTTCGCTACGGCCCCGCCGCCCTTCGCTGCGGCCCTGTCGTCCTCAGCTGCGGCCTAGTCGCCCTTCGCTGCGGCCCCGCCGCTCTTCACTGCGGCCCCGCCGCCTTTCGCTGCGGCCCCGCCGTCCTCAGCCGCGGCCCCGTCGCCGCCCTCACCTGTGGCCCGTCGCCGCCCTCATCTGCGGCCCCGTCGCCGCCCTCACCTGCGGCCCGTCGCTGCCCTCACCTGCGGCCCCGTCACCTACCTATGGCCTCGCCCACTTGCGGCCCCGACCCCGCCCCGGCCATTCCCCGTCGCCAGCTGCGGCACACCGGGGGCACGTGCACCGCCCCCCCCCTTTTCCCGTCACCCGTCGCGGCTCCTTCGGGGGCCGCACCTGGAAGGGGGGGGCAGGCGTCGCCCCCTCTGCCGCTTGCTTTGGCGCCCGGGGAGGCCGTGCGTCGCCCCCCCCCCCCCTCTCCTCCTTTTTTGTTCCCTCTGCTGCAGCTGCCGCTGGGGGGAGGGTGTGAGGGTGTGGGGGAGCCCGGGGAGTGGCACTAGGGTGGCGGGTGTGAGACCACCCAGCCGCCGTCCCTCCACCTCTCCTCTCTTCCCCCCTCTGCTGCTCCTGCAGCAGTGTGTGGGGGAGGGGGAAGGGGAGGGGGAGGGTGAGGGGATGGAGTGGGTGGGCGGTTTACACTTACTCCTGCAATCAATTATGGGGGCGTGTCAAAATATGTTTACATATTTTATATAATTGTTTGCAGTTGTAGTGTAGTTATTGCATCATGTTTGGTGGTGCACCTCCTTGTGTTGCTGTTTACCTATTTGTACTTGCCATTCTCTTTAGTGACACTCATTCCTCTCGACTTTCCTAAACTCACTCGAACTCTCTCCTAAACCATGGCTCCTAAGCCCACCTATGCTTAGCTTTCTTCACACCCTAAACCCTAAACTCCACTCCCACGTCACCCCCCTAGCGCCATTCCCCTCGGCTCCCACACCTCCACCCCCCTCAGCAGCAGCTGCAGCAGTGGGAGATGAACAAGGAGGTGGGGAGAGGGAAGGGGAGTACCCACACCGCGCACCCCCATGCTCGCCACCCCACACCCCCCACCACCGCGGAACGCACGGCAGCACGGGAGGAATGGGCAGCACGGGGGGGGGGGGGGGGGGGGGGGGGGGGGGGGGGACGGTACAGGAGGGGCCGCGCGTCTCTCTTCAGGTCGCCAAAACGGACGGGCGGGGGGCGCGCGCGGCTCCCCAGGGCGCCGCGACCGACGGGCGGGGGGCGCGCACGGCTCCCCA